CGCCCCCCCAACCCCCAATTTACTTTTTTATTGCAGATTCGGGGTCCTCTAGTGCAGCGCAGCACAGCCCCACCTTGGAAAAAAAAATAAAAAAATTCCTTGCAATGTTTTTGCGTCGCCCGGTTCAGCCGGGCGGACCCCCCCGGGCCCAACCGGCCAGGGTCTGCCCGGCCGGGCGCCGGCCCAGCCCAGATATTTTTCCTATAAAGATCGCCACACATTTTCAGAGTTGAGACATCCTTCTGAGCGCAAAAAATCGCGAACGTTGGGGTACTTTTCCCGTTGGCCCGCACGTGGTCAAGTGGCAAAAATGGAAAATGTGACGAAATGACGCGGCATTTATTTCACGGCCTAAATTATTAAAAAAAAAAAAAAAAAACATCTTTTTGATATTTTTCCTGGAAAGATCACAACCTAATCTGCAGGATATCAATTTTTCAGGTTTTTCCATCAATTCTTCTGAGCGCGAAAAATTGCCAAAGTTCGCGCTTGAAAATCCTTGGACCAGACCCGCCTACGCCTGCCGGTCGCCGCCCCCCCTAAGAACCTGGTCCGAAAGGCCAGGAAACTCGAATTTAGGCCGGCGAGGGTAGTGGTGGTTTAAACGCACAACCAGACAAATCATTCTACCAACTAAGAAATGGCCATGCACCCACCACCCACAGAATTGACAACGAGCTCTCAATCTGTCACAATCCTTGCTATGTTTGGACCTCGCGAGCATCCACTTCCGATGGCTAGTCGTCGTCCAACAGTCCCTCTCAGAAGCTGGTCACAAGGAAAGGTCCCCGCATAGCTATTTGGCTGGCTGAGGTCTCGTCCATTATTTGCGACTTCTTTTTCGTTTCTTCTTTTCATCTTTTTTGTGTGCAGTTCTTTATTTCCTTTCTTTCTTTCGGCTTTTTTCACGTTTTCCATTTTATTTCTTCTTTCAGCTCTCCCTTTACTATGCCGCTCAGGTGCAAGGCTCCCCACATTGGTGTAGTTGAGCACGAGCTGCCTACAACCCCGTGTGCCATTCCGCCTCACTGACACACTGTACGAAAGACACACAGTCAAGAAGGAGACAAGGAGTCCAGGAGAGGCACAGAGAGAGAGAGAGAGGGCAGATGGAGCCAAACGACGACAAATGGACAGTAAGGATTGTGGAATAGAGATGACAGCTAGGGAAAGATAAATGTGAAGACTCGAGTCTGTCTGCCCCTGACGTCAGAGGAGGGGTACAACGCCTGGTAGGGATGAGACGGGTGATGATACGAAAGACCTAGCGCTGAGCATTCTCCGTGCAACAGCTGCTGCAACAGCTGCCATTAACCATCGTGCCCGCAAAGCACTCCCAACTGATCGCATCTCGGTTGCAGACCAGGCATTACCGAGGAGCATTCAAACAAACATGCCCGCGAAATGGACGTGACGTGATGTGCAGATCTCGGTTGCAGACCAGGCATTACAAAGGAGCATTCGAACAAACGTGCCCACAAAATGGACATGATGTGCAGGCTCAGAGGGCATGCAACGTCAGGAAGGAGTGGTAGCCCTCTGCACACACCGCTGCAGAGACCCTGGCATTGTAGTGCCTCTCGCTGCAGAGACAATGGCGCCTGCAGCCGAGTGTAACAGTACCTGTAGCCATGCGGAGAAGAAGGACACTGTTGACACATGAACAGTGAAGAGTCTGAAGACTATATATCTCCTTTTTTTTCTTTTTTTAAGTTTTTTTTCCTTTTTTTTCTTTTTTTTTCTTTTTTTCTTTTTTTCTTTTTTTCGTTTTTTTTTTAATACATCTCCTACCGTTTGTGTGCGACCAAGTAAGCTCTGTCAGAAGACTCAGAACTCAATGAACAAGCATTGATTGACAAATACAGTAAATACAGTAAATACAGTAAATACTAAATACTAAATACTCTCTCTATTTTAGTATTTTTCATAACATTTGTGGTGCTTTCTTTAGCTACTACTGTTTTGTTTAACTATTCTTTTTTTCCAAACTTTGTGAACTTGGTCTGACTTTTTATCCCTTTTCTTTCTTCTTCTTTTTTTGTTTTCACAACACCACCCTCCCGTGCTGGTAGTGCTGGTAAGAGCAGACACTACTATGGTAGCACCAGGGGGGAGGCTCCATCTATTGGTGGGGAGCATCACCTGCTGGATACCGAGTCCAGCGTCCCTTGTACAAGATATTAGTATCATATCACCTCTTTTATTTCTTTGTGTTTTTTTGTTTTTTTAACTTCCATTTGTTATTTTCATTGGTTAATCTTCACTTTGTTCAATTTAGCTATCTTAGCACTAATATGCTATCATATGAGGAACGGAATTCGACAAAAAATTGATAAGACGCCAATCAATCCCAACGCTGTGAAAATGCACTCATCATGAACAATGCAACGATTAATAAATTATTCAAGTCGTCGACAAAAGCTGTGGATTGATCCGAAGATTCCAAGCACATTCAGACATCAAACACACAACACATTGGCCAACAGGATTTGTCACAAGACGTCATGAAAAGAAAAGAAATGCAGTTTGTTTCTGTAACACATTCCAAAAAGAAATCAGTTTGTTCAACTTTTTGTTGTCCTCTCCCATCGCCATATATATTATGTGCTGATGAGGTTGGTTTCGGTTTGCGGGAGTACCCGTGGGCAGCCATATGCGATCAGGTCCGAGTCCTCCGTAATGACAACATGCACATGGCCTTGAATGGCAAGAAACGCCAACTGTGCATCCGCCTCATAAGGCGCCACAATGAAATCCACATTCTCCTGCCGCAACACCTGCGCGTTGAAATGCCAAAGCCAAGGTCGTCAGCGCCTTCTGAACGGCGATTATGTCAGAACCTTCCGTGCCTTCACCTCCCAATCAGCATACAATCACACACCACGCGCAGTAGAACATTCATGTGACAAGTCACACTGGACAGTGAGAGATGAAAACCAAAGTCGCTCAGTGAAATCCGCACCGAATTATTGTATCATACAATGCAATTGTTTGTATCCCCCAGCAGCACCTGCCGCACACCAACCAAGTACAAATCAGGTATGCAACTGCTCTCCCCTCTCCCCCATGTGTGACTCTCCCCTCTCCCCCATGTGTGACTCTCCCTCTCTCTCTCATGTCTCGACTTGTATCGCTCAACCTCCCTGTCACGCTCATGCTCTCCCTCTCTCTCCCATGTCTTGTCTTGTATCGCTCAACCTCCCTGTCACGCTCTCATACTCTCAATCCACCGAACCCTGAATACAGCTGCGATGTACTCCTCCGAACCTCTGCGGCTACTGCCGTCTTCTTCCTCCTCCTCCCTAGCTATGGTAACCAGGCGTCTCCTTCCTCACTGGGAACTCGCTCCTCCTCTAGCGCCCACTCCCATCCACGTCGCACGGTCGCACAAGCAACCCGCAGCGCTTCCGCAATTTGCGCATGAGTAGTTGACCCCGCTGGCTGATGCCGCTGATGCTGCTGATGCCGCTGGCCTAGGCCTCTGCAATCATGGTACAAACGAAAACTACTCTTCTAGAGTATCCGTGCACATTGGACAAGTGGCTGGAACTACTAATAGAACATGGAATGGGATTCGGGATTAGAACCTGGGACTCAGGAATGGGACCTGGGACTCGGACTTGGGACTGGGACCTGGGACTCACGACTGGTCCGACTAGGGCCTGGGACTCTGGTACAGCGTGAAATCCTTTCAGCCTTGTCTTTATACATGGACATTGATTTAACTTTTACAAATCAAATCAAGACGTCTTATTATTGCAAAATGAATGGTTTCACCTGGGACTCAGGACTGGTCCGACTAGGGCCTGGGACTCTGGTACAGCGTGAAATCCTTTCAGCCTTGTCTTTATACATGGACATTGATTTAACTTTTACAAGTCAAATCAAGACGTCTTATTATTGCAAAATGAACGGTTTCAACACGCACAGAACACATGTTCTCGAGTTACAAAGAACAATCTGAACTGAGGGAGTGTTTCGGTATTCGCTCCTCCGCCACCTTAAACCACCAGTACATCCGAGCCTCTTTTTTTCCGAGGCAGATTCCCCCTACGCGCCAAGCTTTGCCGAAACGCCAGTGTGGCGTTTTCTTTTTCTTCCGGCTGGCACCGCCAGCCATGTTGGTCTGGTAGCACTGTTCATCTGGACTTTTCGGAATGACTTGACTTAAGTTTGCCTGGGTGGTGTACTTGCGGTTTAATGCACCCCTTCTTTCCATTATCATTGCCATTGTAGTAGTGTCGTCTGTGCACCCCTCAGTCCATAATGGATGGCCATGCGGACTTGACAACCTCCCCTCCATCGTCCAGTATATCACTAGCAGTTTTTTTTTCTTTTCCTGTGAGTGCAGCATGCATGTGGATGCCTGCACATCCCGATACAGATCATCTCCTGGTCATCCTGTCTGCACGTCTTGATGCAGCTGTCTAGCTTCTAGCACAGCAGAAAAAAAGGGGCGCTTGCGGTTTTTGATGCAAGAAGCCCCTGGCATTCTGGTGCATGGGTATTCTGGTTCTTTTTTCTTGTCTTTTCGAAATGGGTAGCTCCTAACTGCAAGTGCCTATTCCATCAGGATTCGAACTCATGACCTGTTGATTACCCACTATATCTGGGGACCATTGCACCACATGGGCTGGGTATAATTCAGTTCTTTTTGCACTGGCAGGTCAATCACATTGCAAATGCAAGCAACGAACTGAGCCGCGAGAGGCACTGGCAGGTCAATCCCCTAAGTGCAACTTTCAGGCCAGAAACAGATACAATGACCAGAAATGGAGGTGCCCCAAACCCATGTTTCAAAATGTTGTAACTATCACAAGTGCGGGACCGTAATAATAATTAACAAAAAAAAAAAAAAAAAAAAAACTGCTGATCCATATGGGCAGAAGCTAAGACGTTGAGGCCGTTGGTCGGTCCCGTTATCTCATTGGAGTATAGCCAAGTGGAAAGGCATCGGTTTTTGATACCGACATGCAAAGGTTCGAATCCTTTTACTCCAGCGATTAATTCCAATTCAGTTTTTGTTTTGGACAAAAATATTGCTTTACCCAACCTACTAAATCTTCGAGTGAAATAGCATAACTGACGCCTTCATACATACTGCATATTCACACTACCTTATTCCGCCCCCGCCCCCCCGCCCTCCCCCCCCCCACACACACACACACACAAACACACAACATTGGTCATTACAGCTGTATTTTCTTTTGCTGCAACTTTCAGTCCAGGTACAGATACAATGACCGGGTGTGTTGTGTTCCGGGGAAGAAGGGAGTAGTACTTGTTTCATCTTTTTACCCAAAAAAAAAAAAAAAAAAAAAAAAAAAAAGCAATAGGCAGGTAATAGTCAGACAGGTCTGGTATCCCCACCAGATCCATAATTGGTGCGGTAGCCCCTTTAACCTAATTCCATCAGGATTTGAACTCATGACCAGTTTGTTAGTCAGACCTCTTCTGCTAACCCCATCACACCCCTATTCTGCTGACTCCAACAGAACCATCTTCTGCCAACGCCAGCAGACCCTTCTTCGCAGTAGCAAATGTCAGCAGCCTGCTGTGAGCCCTCTTGCAGGCACGTGCCCCGGTGCCACACAATTGGCACAAGGTTCCACAAACACACAAAAAAAAGGTGTATCATCACAAGCAACTGCAGGGCCGTATGACCGTAGATTTGCAAAAATGATTTAATTATTAAAAATTGATGATTCCGAAAAATAGGAAAGTGTGCTTGGCCCGGTCACAGATCAGACCAGGTTCACAACGACGCAACAGAGAGCATCACTTGTGACCCCGCCCTATTCTAGAGGTACACCTAAAGTGGAGTGACCCAGCAACTCACCTTTACCCTTTATTCACTACTGTTATGATCCTGGCCAATTTCGAAGTACACATTCATCAGAAAGTACAATGTCATCCCATGAAACTCGGTGCAGACAAAGGCGGTCATAGATATAAGTAGTGGAATTATTTAGGTCAGAGTTTGCGCTCCATTGAAAGAAAAGAAAAAAAGAAAGAAAAAAATAAATAAAAAAAACTATTTTTGGCCTTCCCTTCCATACATCAAGTGTGGTTAAAGTGGAAAACGACATTGTAGTGGAATCCCCTGTTGTCGCATCAATTACAATTATATGACACAGGGTCATTATAGACGTATGTAGTGCAATATTTAGACCACGTACATGCATAATGGCCCCACCGGGTACTTGTTGAATGCTCAAATTAGCTCCCAGCATCGTTGCAGGAAGCAGTGAAAAGTCCTCAATGTGAGTTGATAATGCTAATTTGCTCCATCTGCATCGTATTGCATCATTTGCATCATATTGCATCGTATCGCATTATTTGCATCGTTTGCATCATATTGCATTTGCATCATTGCAACATATCGCATCATAGATTTGCATACACTTACATTTGCATCATTTGCATACATTTGCATATATTTGCCTACATTTGCATACATTTGCATCATTTACATTTGCATACATTTGCATACATTTGCAACGTTTGCATACATTTGCATCATTTACATTTGCATCTTTGCATCTTTGCATGGTTGAGTCGTTGCATCTTTGCATCATTTACCTTTCCATCATTTATATTTGCATCATTTACATTCGCATCTTTGCATCGTTGCGTCGTTGCATCTTTGCATCATTTACATTTGTATCTTCACATCATTGCGCCGTTGCATCATATCGCATCATATCGCATTATACATTTGCATCATTTGCATTTGCATCTTTGTATCATACTGCATGGCACTGCATAGTATTGCATCCTATTGCATCGCATTGCATCATTTGCATCGCACATTTGCATCACATTGCATCTTTGCTGCTCCTATTGGCATTTCCTCTCCAAGAGTGAAGAGAAAGGGATGAGGGGGCCACCTCAGCAACAGATTGCCAGCTGTTAACGTTCTTTGCTGGTATAAGTGACAGGTGGCACTGTTAGCATGTGGTCATAGCTGCTGTCTAAATGATCACTCTCATTAGGTCGCCGAAAGTGAACTTGAAGGATAGAAAGAGGGTTCTATCACTGTGAACGTGTCGGACAAGTTTCGTATTTACTATCACTATTTACTATTTACATTTGTCAGACCTTCAAAGTCTAAAGGGCGTACATACCTTGATGAGCTCCAAGGCAACGGCGGGCGATATGTCCACCGCTCGCTGATAGCATTCATGTGCAGCAGCAAGATTGCCTGCCTTTTCATGTTCATATGCCCTCTCCAGATTTTCTGCACGATTCCTGACATAGCGCTTGGTCATAAAGAGTTTTACCATTAGCAAGCAAGCAAGCAAGCACGAAATCAATCACATGATGCAGAAAGGGAGGGGGGAAAAAAAAAGGGTTTCAATTGGCATAGTCTTTGCCTCAACTGCAGTTCCCACAACAACTCTGCACATACATGCAGGCATGCCGGCAGGTACACGTGCAGGCATGCAGATCATGTACACATGCGGACCATGCACAAGTGCGGCCACGCAGACGTGCGGCCATGCAGACGTGCAGAGACGTGCAGAGACGTGCAGACATGCAGACGTGCAGATACGTTAGTTAAACCACAAGTACACGGCCTCAGCCTTGCAGTCTAAAACTTTTCGCAACAAGAAAATGAGGCCGAAACGTCAAAGGCTGGGTCCGCTGCTGATAAATTCGATCAGCGATGGCGTTTTCGTTTCACCCCTCCAGAATTTTAGGTGTCTTGAAGAACCATTCACTCGGCCCCAGGCTGACAGATTGTTAGCAGTGACCAGAGCAAGCAGTAGGCGAACGGCCCTTCCATATCCAGCATAAGAGAGACAGACTAACAGACAAACTAACATCACAAACAAAAGACAGTAGTTATAGATCCGTACATCTGGGCCCAAGGCGCTCCCCCATGCAAGCACGGATCCGAACCGGCGACCTCGGCCTCAACAGCCAAGTCTCTTAACCACACGGCGTTCAAAGCTTTGAGCCATACCCGGTGTCCCACCCCTGCAAGGCTGTAGTGTCCAACTCGACACACACCGCATACAACACAACACGGATGCACCACACAGATGCGGCAGTTCTTGCACACTTCGCTCCAATCAGCACATGACCGCCACTGGTACCTAGCCCGCTCACACACACGGGTCTTAACTAGCCCACAGCTCCACAGTGGTTATAGATCCGTACATCTGGGCCCAAGCCCCTCGTCCTTGCAAGCACGGATTCAAACCGGTGACCTCGGCCTCAAGAGCCAAGTCGCATAAGCACGACAGCCAGGACACGGTGTTCCATCACAAACAAAAGACGGACAGACGAACATCACAAACAAAAGACAGACAGACCACCATCACAAACAAAAGGCAGAGACCAGCATCAGAAACAAAGGAGAGACAGACGAGCATGAGCGTGGATCAGAATCAGAGGAAGCAATTCTCCTAACGGATTTAGGGAGGGCCGGGGTGTTGGGGGGGGGGGAGGGGAGGGGAGAAGGGGGGGAACCCACAACAGACAAACAGACGAGCACATATCGGTAAATAAGTTAAAATAACAACATACATTTGCATTGTCATTACACATTTAATCAACTGCGGAAACATATGCGTGCATCTTCATGAACAAGCCCAACGGCTGATACGACAATATTAAGAGTTGTGCAATTTGACACGTGAGCAGACAAAGCTCGCCATCATGCATCATGCCACACAACGTGGGAACATACCTCCTTCGTTTGGCTTCTTGACTGGCTTTCATGGGGAGAAGCCCACCATCAAACACCATGATTGGTTTCACACCATTATGCCGAAGCAAGTTCACACGATGCATACAGTAATCAATGTACCTGCCATCAACCCAATGAGCAATTCAACACATAACAGGTACACGATCATTTCAGACTATTACAGATCCAAAGTCCGTTCTCTCTCTCTCTCTCTCTCTCTCTCTCTCTCTCTCTCTCTCTCTCTCTCTCTCTCTC